CTATAATATAGTACATTTTGAGGTCGTCGTGGCTTCACGGATTATTGTCTCATTAGTAAGCAAGTCAGCAAGCGAAGGTATACAAAAGATACCCAAATATGTACGAATAATTATATTGTTGATCCTTTCAGTCGCACATAGTACAAGTATTACTGTATATTGATTCAATGCCAATGGTAGTATTTTATTCGGCTTTATATTTGTATGTGTATTGATATCTATTTAATATTTGAAGAATTCTATATTTTTCCGAGTAATATTTTGTGCGGCCCGCTAATGCTTTGTATTATTGTTCATATATACATTATGTATACCATGTATACATTTTAATATTCAGTATTTCTTCGTTGCACAATGTACACGCTTTGCGTCAATTTGACAGTTGACAGTTTATTTATCGCAGTCGACGCTGATTGGTTCGCGTTTCGCAGATGCGAAAAGGGGATGATTGAATAAAACGCATGGTTCCGTGCAGGCTCACCTTTCTCCCAGTGAGCCTGTTCGCAGGCTACAAGCACCACATAGCCCAAGACGTCGCTTGCGAGATTGGGCCGCCTGTGATCTTAGTATAATTATGTTTGGAATGCAAGTTCAATCACGGGGGGGGGCTATGAAAATTTATTATATTTAAAGGGGGGGCCATGAAAAAATATTTTGAAGGAATGAGGGGCCATGAAAAATTTACCATGAGTTTAGAAATATCTTCCGGCCCCCCCCCCTGGCATTAATAATGACTGCTCCCTTACTATAATTACCGAATACGAATTTATGTAGTAAATCCAGATAAATCAATGACTGAAATTTCCTCTATGCTTATGGACATTTCTCTGTTCGGCTATTATCAAATGTTTACATTTGCTAATATTTGGGCCAGTCCTAGACAATACTGTTTCTTTTAAAAATCTTATAAACAAGACGCGTAGTAACAAGTGAATCGGTGCAAAGCGTATCAACGTTTACAAGAAAGGACAAATGTAATGGCCTATTTTAAAAACATTACAACAAACGTTTGTTATAACCGCGCTCGAGTGTGAAGAGAGCATGCATTGAATAACAACACGAGAGAGCAGTGCGAGTAACGATTTGCTTGGTTTCTTGACTTGACTGTAAGTAAGAATGTAACAATGTTCTTGTAAATTCAAAGCAAAGAAAATAAACAAAAATTAGCAAGTATTTTGAACGTAATAATTCGCCAAATCTATGTTTTTAACGAATATCCCACTGGAAGCATGTTGATGTAATTTGATACTTTCCCCACACCCCCTCAGGCGCTAAATTTTTGATGAAGCACGTGACCAGCCGCAGCCAGGGTCTTTCCCAAAGAAAGATCCTGGGTACGAGGTTGGGTCAATAATCGGTTTATTATATGGCTGAACTGACTCTGTGAGTATATGCTTTTCGCGCGAATTAAATCGGCTATCGTAAGTTTCACTGGGTAACAATATACGTTAGGCATGCATGCTCAATCAAAAACTATTTGGTTGTTTGAAATTTTTATCTGTAAAGCACAATTGGAAATATAATTTGAAAAGCAAAATTTTTTTCTGTTTGCAAAGCGAACATTTCCCGTCAAGATAAACGACATCCAGGACACCGGTCCAGATACGGAAAGTACGGACCACAGTCCGGATATGGGTTTTTAATTACGGACCGCTTGTCAACCAATCAGAATAGAGAATTTTGAAAAGCCATATAATAATATGTTATATTACTGTAGCCGTGATGAAGATCTTGGCTTACGGACAGGGCCGCCGAGAGGTTGGCGGGGGCCCGGGGCAAATTTTTTTTAGGGGCCCCTATTTAAAATTTTTTTCCGGAAAAATTTTTTTTCGAAGAACAACCCCCCACCCCCCGTCGACAACTTTTTAGGTAAAATTTTTTTCCGGACGAGTACGTTGCAATTGCTTTCCAGGGACTTTATCTCAAATTTTCATGCCAAATTTCGGTACTTAGCCCAAAAAACACATATCTTGTCCTTTGCGCGGAAATATTTAACACATAAAAAAGAGGAAATATTTAACACATAAAAAAGACTTGGGCCCAACAAAAAATTTTCAGGGGCCCCCAGCACCTCGGGGCCCGGGGCAATTCCCCCCCCCCCCCCC